TGCCTTTTTCCTTATCATTGTATGAGACGATCTTATTCTCCAAGTTAATTATCCAGCAGTCCTTATGATTTATTCTCTTAACAACTACAAGACGATAAGAGATTGAAGCTTATAGTATTCATTTATGACAGTCAGCTTTACGTTAAAGTTTTCAGATTATGATCATAAGCTTACTGGCACCAGGGCGAGCATCAAAGTTGTGGACTTCATCCTAGCAGGAGACAAAGAGACTTATATCGATGATATATCTGTGTTGTAATCTGTTATTCTATTCGCCTGCTGTATCGCTACGATTCATACTAACAACAATCTACAATGCATTCTGTACGGAGAAAAAAGCTATATACTGTATAATGTGCAGTTGCAAAGCAAATTTGTGTCGCTTTTTATCTTTGGTATAAATCAAATTCCTCGATTGCAAGCAAGTTAAAATCAAGGGGTATGTACTGCATTGGAGCTACAACATTGTTGTTTCGATGTGCATCAAGATAATAATTTCAAGACGTAAAGTATCAAAATAATGTGCATATTTGACATAATAGAGCCGCGATGAAAAGAGCTATCATGGGTAGCATCGCTCCGTTAAGTTAATAAAGTACAGTATAACAATAGTACATGCATTGTATACTAATGTATAGTAGTGCAGAGCCGGTAATATAGAGGATGGTCAACAGTGACCATGTAAAACTTGTCAATAACCAATTCTTATCAAAGTGTTAATACAATAATAAAAAAATGAATTATAACACTTGTTAATACTAATGTACCGTTTTACTTCCTAAAAGCTAAAATAACACTAATCTCATTAGTAAACAACCAATATGCAATGCAATTGCTATCAAAACATATCCATTATACGCATGGAATATTATGACTAAATTGACTAATGCTGTGTGTCATGAATGATCTCTTTCGGTTGATGCCTCAACTTAACCTGCAAGCTACACGCCGTTTCGTATACATAATAACTTCCAAGTACTGACATTTTATAAAATATATATTATCTGCAGTGTATCTGTTTTTAATTATCTATATACTGTATAACACTCGATCTTGAAATACTTAGACGTACGGCCACATCAATAAAGTTATGACTAAAATTTAATAATCGTAAAACTAACTAGGTAGATGAATTTATTCAATACAAAAAATAAAACAAGGGAAGCGGATTGTTGAAATAATAGCATTCTAGAAATAAAATGATTACTTCTTTAGTGACTAAGTCGGTAAAATGGACACTTTGACCATAAATATCAACCCAAGCCAATTTATTAGTAGAAGCATCATAAAATGGTCCTTCAGCAAGGATTCCTCCCTTATTGAATTGTTCAACGACGACGTCTGCCATATCTAGAATGAGATGCAATTTGTTGGGCCGCCTTTCTTCACTGCAAGATACTGAATTCTGACCTCTACGCTGTCGTCAATTGACAGTTTATAAGAAATAAATGAATAATTTGCTAGTCCTTACGTATACTGTTAGAGGACTAGAGTTCAACCTTGAGCAATTTTTTCACCACTAATCAACAACGTCCCTATCACACTATGAACGCTGCACAGCCTATTGCAATGCGTTGATGATAAACAGTAAGCAGTAAAATAAAGTATAACTATACAGTATGCGAATATTATTAATAGTAAAATAAAGTATAGTACTGTATACTATACAGTATACAGTATGCGAGTATCATTAATAGTAAAATAAAGTACAGTACTGTATACTATACAGTTATACAGTATGCGAGTATCATTAATAGTAAAATAGTAAAATAAAGTATACTGTACAGTATACTTTATATTATTAATAGTAAAATAAAGTATACTATACAGTATACGAGTATTATTAATAGA